CTGATCTAAATCATTTTGTAAAGCATCCTCTTCACAGGTAGCAACACCCAAGACCTTAATATCATCAGCAAATTTAAGTAATTTATTGAAGATTCCTTCATCTCTCATTGATGCAAATCAAAAAGAGCAAAAGTACTAATATTGAGCCCTTGTGACGTTAATGCAGTTTGGCTGAACTCCATTTGTAACAACCCTCTGTTTTCTTCCATCCAATTAGCTAACTTATCCCCCCACACCTAGAGATATAATTTTTTTTAGAAGCCTTTTATGTGGCACCTTGTCAAAAATGTGGTGAGAACGGTTAGACATACATACAGTATAGTGTGATAAGGACTGTGGTGACAACAGTTAGGCAGGCATACAGTTTGGTGTGATAAGGAATGTGGTGACAACGGTTAGGCATACATATACAATTTAGTGTGATAAGATTTCTCGTGACTACAAGTACACATAAAGTAGGTAATAGATAGGTACGTAGGCTATGCGTCCATCTCGCTTTACCTCCACATATACATTTGTTCTTGGTTTCTTTTTTATCGCAAAGGTACATAATGGGATATCTGTGGGGAATTGAATCCCGGATTGTCTACAGACTTACTGTTTATCCAACGGGAAACCCTTCCTATCCTTGCGAATATCACGTCATTTTTATCTCGATGTTCTAACGTAGTATATTTTGTAGTATATATTTTCCAAACCTTATAAATAAAAGACTTTGCCACTTGTGAAAAATGAATAGGTGAGATGTTTCTAACAACAAAATTCTTATTTGTTCGTCGTTAAGCACAAAGCTACGTAATAGGCTATCTATGTTGTACCCATTCTGATATAGAAATACGATTTGTAACGTTATAAGTCTTCAGACTTTTCGCTGATCCTATAGGGGGCTAAAAGTCTTTTTAAAAAAGTTTTCATAAGGCTGACAATGTTGTACTAATTCTTAGCAAAATTTGGAGAATGATATATATATTTCTTGTTTAAAATGATATAGAATTTTTGGTTTGTTTGTTGTTAAGCGCACAAGCTTCACAATGGGCTTTCTATGCTCTGGCCACCACAGGTATCGAAACTCTAATTTTAGCGTCGTAAGCCTGCAGAGTTACCGCTAAACCACTGGAGGGTGGGGGGCATAGGTTTTTAGTTCCCAAGAAAATCATGATAAGTTGCTTTCAAATTGCATGTCTACCATTTCGCAGTACATAATTATTAGTCATTATTATTTATAAGTATATTAGTTGGTAACAGAAACATTCCAGTGGCCTTACGCAAATTAACATTACCTATCGTATTATATCAAACTGCGTGATAGCATTGTTTGAAAACTTGGTTTCACTACAGGAAAATCTTGCCTTACATTTTGGAAAAGTCTGTTAAAAGATGCTTTGCAAAGTCATTTAACAAAGTTTAAAATTTTATTGGATAGTCAACATGGTTTCACTAAGGGAAAATCTTGTCTTACAAATCTTATGACATTTTTTGAAAAGGTTACTGCTTATGTAGATGAGGGTAAGGGTGTAGATTTGGTGTGTCTGGATTTTCAGAAAGCTGTGATAAGGAATGTGGTGACAACGGTTAGGCATACATATACAATTTAGTGTGATAAGGACTGTGGTGACAACGGTTAGGCATACATACAGTATGGTGTGATAAGGACTGTGGTGACAACAGTTAGGCATACATACAGTATGGTGTGATAAGGCCAAACTGTATGTATGCCTAACTGTTGTCACCACATTCCTTGTCACACCAAACTGTATGTATGCCTAACTGTTGTCACCACAGTCCTTATCACACCATACTGTATGTATGCCTAACCGTTGTCACCACAGTCCTCATCACACCATACTGTATGTATGCCTAACCGTTGTCACCACAGTCCTCATCACACTATACTATATGTATGCCTAACTGTTGTCACCACAATCCTTACCACACTATACTGTATGTATGCCTAACCGTTGTCACGACATTCCTTACCACACTATAATGTATGTGTGCCAAACTGTACCATACTCAAGGAATGAAAATTTAATATTTATTTTAGCTCTATGGTACATCTACCAAACGTCCAGGTTTGACTGGGACAAACCCAGTTTTAGAAAGGCTGTTTCCGGTGTCCCCAAGCATTTGAGAAAAATAATACAATTTTATACCGGTTTCAAATTTTGGTAGTTTAAAACCAGCTGATTGGCACAAAAGGAGACACATACATTTGGAACGAACAAAGAAAACTGCGATGCTTAAACGTAGGTGTTTAATGAGAAGTGTAGGGAGAATTTTCCTTCTATCTATTTTCTAGATACCTTTCATGTTTTGAATTTTCTGTCAAATATAATTATGTTACAAAGATTATAATAATTTCTTAAGAATGTACCGTTCACATTGCAAAGAATACATAAGAAATTATCTTTGCTGGAAATTATACGATTTTTAGGGGAAAATTACATTTCGATAGAAAGATATTCCAGTTTTAATCACTCCCGCACTCTAGCTCACCGTAGGTCCCGGTTGAGCACCTTTATTTTATGGCCATATTTACTCGACTTTCTTTAGCGGATGACGTTATGAAATAGTAACAGTCGCTCAAATTTGGCTTCTTGCCAAAGTTACTGTTTATTATTTTTCCTACTTGAGCGACCTGTGCAAGTAAGTTGGTACATGAATGTGTATATCGACACAAATGCGTGTTCAGGAGTGTTTGTTAGAGTCATATCAGAATACTATCCTTTATCATTACTTTCTTTGTCATGAATTTGTTTTGTACAAACGATAGTATTATTATAATCTATTTCCGCAATCACGTACAAGCTTAAGACAATGCTAAGCACACCCGTGACAGGCAATATTGTTCAACTCCGAAACTTACAAGAAAGTTTACATATCGTGACAGGTAATATTATTCAACCTCGAAACTTACAAGTGAGTTTACACATCGTGACAGGTAATATTGTTCAACCCCGAAACTTTAGAAAAAATTGCTAAAGGTTTCCGATTAAAGGGTTACAAAGTAGCGTTCATTCCACAAAACAAAACTGTCAACCATTTACTAACACTAAAAGATCCAAAAAAGACGGAAGATAAAGATGGAACTTACCAAACCAGTTGTAGTTGCGGTAAAATGTACATAGGACAAACAAGAAGGCAATTAAAAACGAGACTGAAAGAACACCAGTAGGACATAAAACATGGCAACACCGTGTTCTCCACTGTCGCTGAACAGTTCTGGAACCGTGATTGTAATTATGGCTGGAAAAAATGTAAAGATCTCAAGAAATTCACAAACAAACATAGAAAGGAACTTAAGATATAGTATTTGTATAATTAAAAACAGATCTGTGTGTATAAATAGAGATGACAGACCAATCAATATGTTTTATTGGAATACTTACTTAACTTCAGTAATCCCTCATTTAAGATTTACTATCCACCCCTTGTTTCCTGACCGTATTTTGAAAAATGAACTCACCCAGTAACGGTTGTAGTTGAATATATGCTAAATTAACACTGTAGATACTAGCCCTGATGATGGTAACTGTGTTACCGAAACTAGTCGGCTCTAACTAATAAAAAATATTTTACCTTTCATTGTGCCAAAAACGTCGTTTTTTTGTGTTTTTTTTTACTCTTAATATAAGTTATTTAGGAGTTGTTTCGGCCTGATAACTTAATACGTTGTTTCTGCCTGTGTGTGTGTGTGTGACCGCCAGAACTCCAAGAGGAAAGAACTTAAAAATCTGAAATTTTGCATCGATACTAAATGGACCCTGAGGGTCTGCACCTGGGTATTATTACTTATCTTATCCACGTGCGTGCACGTATGCGCGTGCGCCTCTTTTAAGTGGGGCAAACTAGAGAGAAACCACATAGAAAAGAAGTGGTTCCTTATATTACAAATTATGGATATAAATCACAGACAGACAGACACGCACGTGCGATCGTGTGCGTCTTTTTAATGAGGCAGTCTAGCGAAAAACCACATAGAAAAGAAGTGGTTCCTTATATAACAACTTCTAATATATAGAAAAGCCAATGTGTTTGGGTAACAATGCGTTTCAAGAATGGCTTTTATATCATGTCTCTTAGCGATGAAAGTATAACCTAATATTATTGTTAAGAGG